ATGTCCACTCATGTCTGACTCTAGGGGGCGGTGCTCACCCCCGTTTCCAAGCCGTAGAGCCAGCTTTTGTCCAAAGACAGTTTCCATGGTCACATGGCCAGCGCGACTAGACACGGAGTGCCATTACCTTCCCACCGTGGTGGTACCTATTTATCTACTTGCATTTGCATGCTTTCAAACTGCTAGGTTGGCAGGAGCTGGGACAAGTGACCGGAGCTCACTCCGTTGCGTGGATTCGATCTTATGATGGCTGGTCTTCTGACCTTGCAGCACAGAGGCTTCTGCGGTTTAACCCGCAGCACCACCACATCCCTTTATTCTCAGTAGTTGGCCTAAATAAGATTATTCTAGAGAAATTAACTCCTGCTGTACTCAGTTTAAACAGATTTTGCTTTTCTTTTCACTTACTTGGGCTTGTTTGTATCTCCATCTTCACATAAAAACTTCAAAGCTGAATCTGTAGAATGACTACAGTAGCTAATTATGGGGATTGGTGTCTCCAGTATTCCTAGGGCATGTGGAAACAGACTATATTTAGAGGAAAAGCAAACCATCCAGGATCATGCAATAATAGTAGAATTTAACACTTTTATTAACTGCTTATATGGGATTGTCTTTGACCAAACTCCGGGAGGCAGTGGAAGACAGGAGGGCCTGGCGTGCTCTGGTCCACAGGGTCACGAAGAGTCGGACATGACTTAAATGACTAAACAGCATATGGGATTGTCACAAGTTAGTTGTTGTAACTTAGGTACTTGAAATTTCAAGTGTCTTTTGCTATAAAATATAAAGATCAATGTACAGTTTTAACTATGTAGGAATCATATAACTTGGAATCAAATGTCAGTGTGGTTTTTAGCTCTGCTCATAATTGGCCTGGCAAATTCTTAACTATACAGTGGTGCCTTGCATTACGACGTTAATTCATTCCAGCGAAATCGCTGTAGAACGAAAATGTCGTAAAGCGATTTTAAAAAGCCCATAGAAATGCATTAGAACCTGGTTAATGCGTTCCTATGGGCTGGAAACTCACCATCCAGCGAAGAGCTCCCATAGTGCGGCCATTTTCGCTGCCTGTGCAGCGAGGAATCCGTCCCAGAAAACAGTGGGCAGCCATTTTGTTTTAAAAATCATCGCTTTGTGAGAATTGGTTCCTGAAGCAGGGAACTGATCATCGCAAAGTGAAAGTCCCCCATAGGGAATATCATTTTGAGATCGCTTTTGCGATCGCAAAAACATCGACGTCAAGCAGTTTTGTCGTTAAATGGAGCGCCCGTCTTGCGAGGCACCACTGTACTGTATATCCATTTGGATTGAGCCAAAACAAAATATTGTAAGGCCTACTGATTTCAATGGCAGACAGCTTATGATACACATACTTCTCCTAAAATCAATTCTTAACTTTACCTGGATCAGAATGTAGATGAAACTGTTAACTGTTATATACAGCAATAGTAGGGAACTGGGCTACACATTACACCTGCATTTGATATCTGGGGATGCCACTGCAAGTGGTATTCTCATGGCATTCTCATGAATCACCATATAATTCCTGTTTATATTCTTCATCCCCCTAACATTCATCTACTTGGAAGAATTCACAATGTGATGATGATGCCAGATCATGCAGAGAGCAAAATAATGGGCAAGTTCCCACCCCCAGCTTCTAAACTACATCAGTTTTTTCCAAGTCTTTTGAGAGAAAACTCAAGAAATTTAGGGTCTTTCCAAGAGTTTTCTCTATCCCATTCCACAAATTTCCCCTTTTAATGTAAATCTGGAACAAGTGAGGGGGCAGAAAGGGCTGGCTGGCAAAAGGGGAAGACCTATAGGTCTCACAGCTGGGACAATACCCATTGCTTTGAATTATCATAAAAGTCCTGCCACTAGGATGTATGGGGATTTTAGCTTCTAAAGTCCCAAAATGAAGGAATGGGGCTGGGGAGCTTTAGAAAAAACAACAGCACTCATACACAGCAGTAGTAATGGATAGTACAGAGTATGCTTAGGCATTTAAATGCCTACAAACCTTTCCCATCACCAGGCAGCACTTCCTGCTAATGGTTAATTTCTCCTTTCCAAAGACATTTCTTACTGGGGATAATTGGCCTGGAAAATTCTGAACTTAGGACATTTTGCTTCCGGTTTTTTGGTTCTAAAATTCATCAATCTCTCTAGTTTTTCCCAAAGGTTCTGCTAACCACAGTTTCAGATTAAAAACTGGAGAAACCAACTCCTTTGTGCATGAACCATTTATCTTTTCATGCCTCCTGAAAGAGCCAGACCAAGAACAATAACTTATGCGTGAGGTAATGCCTGATAAGAACAGGCATCTTGGTTCCATTTAAAGAATTAGAATAATCCAGTCACACCTGAGGTAGAGATAAAGCAGATCAATCAGAATGCTGGAGGCATTCAAGAGAAAATTGGACAACCATCTGTCAGATTTGCTCTGATTTGGATTGCTACATTGAGCAGAGGGGGTTGGACTCACTGGCCTTATAGGCCCCTTCCTACTCAATTATTCTATTTTCTATGGTTTTATCTACTCCAAATGGAAACTGACTGTAAGAAGGTGAGTACAGAAACACAACTGGGAGACCCTGTAAAAGGTAAGGTAAAGGTAAAGGTTCCCCTTGACAATTTTTGTCCAGTCGTGTTCGACTCTAGGGAGCGGTGCTCATCCCTGTTTCCAAGCCATAGAGCCAGCGTTTGTCCTGAAGACAATCTTTCCGTGGTCACATGGCCAGTGCGACTCAAATGGAAACTGACTGTAAGAAGGCTAGTACAGAAACACAACTGGGAGACCCTGTGGGTGTTCACAAAAGCATGTAACTTTATAACTTGCTGCAACAATCTTATATAATTTGCAACCTGTATAATTTGCTACAATAACCTTGCAAAAACACACAAGCATGCCCCCCAAGCCAATTTTGAGAATTAATGTCCAAGACCTACAGCAAGGGGTGTTCACAAAAGCCTGTAACTTTATAACTTGCTACAACAATCTTATATAATTTGCAACCTGTATAACTTGCTGTAATAACCTTGCAAAAACACACAAGCATGCCCCCAAGCCAATTTTGAGAATTAATGTCCAAGACCTACAGGAAGGAGAAAAAAATTCACAACGTGGATGCCATTTTTAGCAGCACCTCCTACTGAGTACATCCAGACCAGTTCAGATAAATGAATGAATGTAATCTCAAGAAATCTGAAGTACCTTTCTTGTATTTCACAGAAATCTAAATGCATTTTAACATAATCCAGTTGCAAGATAAATAAGACCGTGTCATACCTTGTTCGACTGCCTCCTTGATTATCTTTTTATTCAAACTGAGAGCCCTTTGATCTGTTACTATAGAAACATTTTTCCCCAAGGCCTTCAACATGGCTGCCATTGCAATGGCTCCAGGAGGACCATCGTTCTCTTCAGGCGGCTCATATTTGAAGTGGGTAGGAAATCCAGTCGTAATTAACACTGATTGTGCATGAGAAATGGATAGACATGCTTTCAGAAGTTCATTCTGAGAGCACAAATGTTTCACACCTCTGTTTCCTAAGGAAAGAGAGAACAATTTCCTTTGAAGATTAAATTATCCAAGAGCATACGTTTTAACAATTAATGTTTTTTGTTTATGAGTAAATTCAATTGTACCTTCCAAATACAGTCCTGGCCAAAATATTGGCACCCCTGCAATTTTGTCAGAAAATGCAACCTTTCTCAGAAAACTGTTGCAGTTGCAAATGTTTTGGTACTCACATGTTCATTTATTTGGTTTGCGTTGGAACAACACAAAAAAACAGAGAAGAAAAGTCAAATCTGATACAATCCCACACAGAAACCCAAAAATGCACTGGCCAAAATTATTGGCACCCTTAACTTAATATTTGGTAGGACCCCCTTTGGAAAAAATAA